GTTTGGTGGGATGGGGGCGCGAACCCGCGACCCGCAGATTGCAAGTCGAGCGTCTTATCCACCTGGCCATGCCAGGCTCCTGTAGAATATGCATACATGTAATAAAGTACAGATAAATCTTGTGTTTGCTTTTTTTTCACAGGCACTGACCTGATCAACTCCACCACTTCCTCCACTACTGTCCCTATTTTCTAGTGCTGCATGTAGTCTAGATACTTCCTTTTTCAGCTCCTCTGAATACCATTTTTCTTCCTAAATATTATGAAATAAAGAAGATAAAATAAAGAAATAAAAAAGTATCACTGGGTTTTGTAATTTGACTAGTTACATAAAACATGAATCTTTATTATGATTAATAGGAGAAAATTCTGAGCACAGTCAATTAATCGTCCCTAAAACACTTCTGAAAATCAACAAACATATAAGTATCATTTTGTGAGGCTCAAGTTTACTCACACTGAGCTTGTAAACACACATGCAATGTTAGTTTCTACTTAGTTGCATCTTGTAAATGATCAAATAACCTGTTTCAATTGCTCTTACTTTATTTATATGAGGAATTACATGTAAATTTAACATTTTTTGTACATACAGTATTAATTTCTACATGTTGCTTTGCTTTAGAAATGCTGAAAATAGCAACAAATTAAATTATTGTACCCTGTACTTGAACATTTTAATATTTATGTAGTATAAAATATTACATTTCTTCTATTTATAAATCAATTATCTTATAAATTCTTCTTAAAGCATTGTTGGGGAACCAACAACAGCAAAAAAAAAACTGTTTAAAAGAAATTTACTTTTAAAATGCTGTTACCTTGAGAGATATCTGGAGGTCAGAAATGTCCTGTTGCAGTACAGACAGTTTACCATCTTTTGATCTGCAACGAAAAGTAGATAATTTCAAGAAGTGACAGAATAAGAGAATTACCAGCATATTCTTCATAGTAAAAGAACATTCAAACTTTAATAACCACAATATCTGCAACTGCCATTTCAATAAAAATTAATTTGTTCAAATAACATACATTTATTGAACATGAAATTAAATGATGATTAAAAAAACGATTTTAAAATTGTGTTAAAAATAAATATTAAATGTCAGTTACTCTACAATCACAAAGACTGAAAAAACTATTGGTGAACTGACATTATTTAACATGTGCTTTTTGAAACTTGGAACAGTAAAAGTGTGAGCTGACAAAATAAATACTTCATATTTTGGGAAACAAATGTCACCATTACCAAGAAAGGCTCAATATTACAATCAATGTGTGTGTGTATGAAAAGAAAGACACAAAACTGAAATCGAAGGTAATATCAATATTTCACTGAAGTTTATATTTCATAGTGTTCTAGGGAAACAGTCCTCATAAAATAATTATGACTACAATGTGAGAGTTAGAAGTATATATCCACTGCATGACAAACAATAATGGTCAGTCATCGCTCATAAACTGAACACTTTTGTCCGAGACAAATTTATATATATGCTCAATCATGTTGTTAGCTTGTCAAATATTAATGTGGCAAAATGAAAAACATTTCCTTTGTTTTCTTTAATAATTTACCATAAATTTATATTTAAATAGTAAGATCAGTTCAAAATGATAGCAAAACAAATATGCAAGAGATTAATGCATTGTACAACATAGTTAAATAAAATATATGAACATGAAGAATTTACCCTGTTACCAAAGTTTGATTGTATTATATAACATACTGTTTTACTTCACAACTGACAACTGTTTATGTGAAGGGGGCGTAGAGAAGATGCTCATATACAGTGTCAAAAAATCAGCCCCATAACCCAGTTACTAATGTAAAAGTTTTTTAACTTGTAAAATAAAAACTTTACTTTTATAAATTAGTCCTCAAAGACTTTCTTCTCAAGCATCACTCCAAACTAGGCAATTGTTACCCATTTAAATCTTGTTTATTTAGTATTTAACACGTATTTTCTGGCTCAATGATTTCAATCAGAGTAGTTAAATAGGATCTACTAACTGGAAGCTCAAGAATACTGAGTCACAGGGTGTGTTTCATGTTTCTCACCAAGTTTGTCACACAGAAAGAGACAGAGCAAAAAATGTACAAATCTTTATGACATAAAAACAAAACACAAGGGATAGGGTTTGTAGTGGACATGTAAAACTTGCAACAGGAAAGTGAAGAAACCTTATTAGTTCAGTGTAAAAACCTTTCCCTGTGTAAGCTACAGTATAAGAAGAGTTAAATGTAAAATAAAACCCAAAAGTTAAACTTACATTGAATCCAAAAGATTAAACAATAAGTATGGCAAAACAAACTCCACCTTACTCAAAATCCGATCCCACTGTTAAGCTAAAACAAAGTTTAATCAGATAGGAAACGTTAAATTCTACAGCAATCAACAGTTAAGTTGAAGTCCAAAAAAGTTACCTTTACAGGTACAAACTTGGCTTTCTATACAAAAAACTATAACATAACACAAAACCAAATCTGCACATGTTACTGTCATCCACTGCAATCCTAGCACCCAAAGAAAAGGTGCAGCAGCCACTAACCATTATCTGATTCACCAACAAAAAAAAACAATCATCTATCTCACAAGTTATCTTTCTTGTAAAAAAACATGGTTAACTTACAATTAGTGAATTTATGTGCCACATGCATTGGAGAAAGGTAAAGTTAAGTAGCTAACTTGAGTGACTTTCTGCATCCAAACTTAACTAAAAGAAAAATACAGGAATTTCAATAAATTTACATATTAGCTAAAGGTGGGAACTAATGCATGGCATAGTGCTGCACTAAAATGTCATAAACTTCCTACAATCATAGAAAATTTGCACTACTGACTGCAAGAAACAGTATGAAATGTTCCAAAAACACATACATTAATGCACTCATGTACTTAAATCATGATTTACTTAACATGTTTAAAAAAACTATTATTTATAACTTTGTTTAATGTACACTGGTGTTTATTACTACATATATTTCTATTAATATAAATGAATCAACAACCTATATCTCCAGAATGTATCTTTATTGGCTGAATATTTTGCTATTATAAGCTTTGTCAGGAGCTATTAATAACCTACCAGTTTGCTAATCTTGTTGCAACTAAATTGCAGTTAATCAAATATTGATACAAGTGTCTAAAAGTTTTAGATTAGTGTTAAGAATCACATGGTACATCATCCTATGCTTTTGCTCAGACTGTATTGTGAGTATCATAAAATATAAAGTATACAGTTTTTACTGAATTAGAAACTCAAATTACCAATATTTACAAGTTACAATATAAAATAAGAACCTCATACCATTTCTATTTGCTGAGATATCATAATATTTAGCAAACACATCACAGTGGTTCTGCCCATCTCTTCCTCATTTGAAAATATTTGTTTACCTATGTCTACTTCTCTTAAGTATGTGTATATAACCAATCAAAAATGCTCATTTTGAACTATGCAATCCTGTCAGTCTTCCTAAAGTACTTACATGGGTAAAGTCATTATAATCATTGCAGTGTTTGAAGAGTGGTGATTAAGGCAATACACTGATTGGAAATGGGAAAACGCTTTAATGGGAATCCCTCGAAAGCAGACCCCAAATTTAGCACTGACTTACATTGTAGTACGCAAGTAAGTAGGCCTACTAATTATCATTCATAACTTGGTTGAAGAAATTAAACTTGCATTATAGTGGCAAGAATCATTAAACTGAAAAAGTGCAAAATAGTAGTTCAAGCACTGAATTTGTATTATAATGGCCCTGTAAATGTGAGCCAAAGCCCCATGGGTTCACTAGTATATATATATATATATATTGCATGTCATTAACAGCCAAACACATATCAATTCTTGGTGTACTGTGTCAGCATGTTATTTTCTTTCCTGAAATAAGTACAAATGACATTAGAAATGTGTTTGTTTAATTTTAAGAATATAATGTCTATTTCCCTATGTTTCCAGACTTCTAGGACACCCTGTATATACATACATATATATGTATTTGTTTCATTGTAACTTTACACTACATTTTATTATAAGTATGGTCCACTAACATAATGCATAAATATCAAAAACTTATACATACACTGACTATCATCATTTCTAAAAATGGGCTTTGACCAATTACATATCATACCAAAATAAAATATATCTTTCAACCAATACAGACATAGACCTGACACATGTTAGCATTTTGCAAAAAACTCAACAACCGGCAATAAAATTTACACATGAGAAATGGATAAACGACCTGCTATTTAAGCGTACTGTTTGTTCTGTAGGTTTGAGCTCCAAATTTATAATGGTGAATCGTACTGGTAATTTAAATACAGATCTGTGATGATTTTGATGTAAATATATAGTTTATAAACATTAAAAGAACATACAACACTTAATTCTAAGTTAACCCAGAATCATAATCACACTTAAAAGTTGTTACATTGCATTCATAATGCAACAAAACAAGCTGGTTCACAGTAGGTATTACATGAAAACTTATGTGGGTAGGTGTGAAAAAAAGTGTTTGTATTTTAAGATATTGCATGTGTTTAGAACCAGACCTCAAATACACATAGAAGAAAGGATTTTTATTTCAATCCCTTACTAAATTCCAAGGGAAAATAAAATAGTATTTTCATCATTGTTACAGTTATAGAAGATACTTATACCTCTAACACAGTTTTAAGTTGTGGAAGATATTCATACTTCTAACACAGTTTTAAGTTTTGGAAGATACTTATACCTCTAACACAGTTTTAAGTTATGGAAGATACTTATACCTCTAACACAGTTTTAAGTTTTGGAAGATACTCATACTTCTAACACAGTTTTAAGTGTTCTTTTACTTTGCTTCAATCATGTAAAACTTTATCAATATGACAATTCTGCACAAGCCAAAACTGATGCTCAGTTCTGGTCTGTTTTGTATCTACTAAAAGGCCTAACATAATGTGAAAGATGACTGAGAAAGGTTCTTTTACGAGAATTATCATTAATGAAATAGGTTAATATATCACATATAAAATAATGATAAACAGAAACTGTAATGTCACTTATTATGGTTCACCCATTGTGCTACAGCTGTTTAGCATTTGGTTTTCTGACAATACCTTTTTGAAGTTAGTGGTACTAAATACAGCATTCATTGCTGTTTAACACTTAAATGTAACTTATTCTGCTTTCATAGCTAAATTTTTTTAATTAAATTTCTCTTTTCATTTCAATTACACCTAGATACATTGCAATCTACACCAGTAATAATTTCTTAGTGATTAAGGCTATACAATAAATCAGGAGTATAAAAATGTCATCAATAATTAAATGTGAAATAAGATAAAAAGTTTTAGAGGTATTAGAGTTGCTGCCTAAACTTTCAAATGAAATCTATATAAGCTAAGATTATATTACAATACTATCAATGATTTGATTGGCCATTTTCCATGTTTGACTTGACAGTCTTCATTCTGGCCAATCATTCTGACTTAAATGACAGTCATATTCTATTGTAAATACAAAGTCAATAGCTGTACAGGAAATCAAAATTACTTTTGAAATAAAATAATTTTCTCTCATTAATATATCAAGAACAGACATGATGACTAACCTATTTTTTTTTTTTTACTATTTAATCATTTGATTAGTTATTCTAATGAATATTTTAATTGTTCTCAAAGGTTTCTTTAAAGAAGAGCAAAAATATGAGTAATTTGTCTGGTAAAGCAGTAGATATCACTATGGTTTGATGTCAACATCTGTTTATTTTACAAGTTAATTGTAAGGCTACTTTTTTTAAGGAATTTTATTAAGGTGTAGAATGAAGATATAATCAGTCAATCATAAGTTTGTTTTATTACTAAAATCTCAACTGGCTTATTGAATCAGCAGTGTTCTGGGTAGGAAAACTACACAGTGATAAGGTGGCAGGAACTACATATTTCCATTATAACTAAAATGTTAACTAAGTTTTTCAAAAATTAGCATATAAACACACACATGTATATTTAACTTTATATTCAAAAATCATTAAAAACATACCTTGTCTACATGACAAGCCACACAAGGTACCACCATGCAAGAAAAAGAGAAAACAGTTAAAATACTGAAATATAAAACAAACTGATTACTTTTATCTTATTAGTAACTTTCAATACTCTAAACATTTCTTAAGTAAGTTAACCAAGCTAAATTATTAATGATAATTTTCCTCTCCAAAGATTATTGTGAAAAATCAATTTAAATATTTATTTACATGTAGTATTTCATACAATAATAATTACAAACAAATATTCAATGAACATGTAACATTTATGCCTAGCAATAACTTTGACATTTACCCGCTACTAATCAAGGGTCATACATAATATAAAAACTTTAATTTAAAAATACCAATATAATCAAATTTTCATAAACATCATTATAATTAGCCATGTACAGTATAACAGATAAAAATACCAATATTTAGCCTAAGGCAATTTTCAACATAGTGTGTGGTTTGATTTATTAGAATCATATCCCATTAGAAAGTTAAGTCCTCTCAGTGTTCCATATGTGTGTGTGTGTGTTGTCACATAGGTACTTATTTCAAGTTGGAATATCTAAATAATATTCATGTATGAAGTAGACAGGCAGAAATATACTTAGAGGGAGAGCTACATTTGGAGAAAAAAAAAAGAGGAAATTAGTAGCAAAATTACATTAATGTGGGGTTTTTTTGGCATGCCCCCTTGGAAAACTTTTGTAATATTCACAGAAAATGATGCACTTTTTTTAATGATATTTGAGGCTGTGTTTACACCTCATAAGTATGTATTATACACATACATATATATATATATATATATATATATATATGTATGAATGCTATATATATATATATAT